GGGGGGTAGATGGTAGATCAAAGGAGGGGCGCGCGGGGCGGGGGGGGGGGGGGGGTGTACTCATAGTCGTGCATGCCGTAGTCGTTTGACCATTGACCTCGCATCCCCTACAAAGCCGGGACGGAGCACGCCGGGTTCTCACCGGAGCCAGGCTCTCACATCACCAAGCGCGAAGCGCCGTGAGGTATTTGGCGAGTCGCATGAAGGGTGAGCTGCATCCTGCTAAGGGTGTTCGGCATCTTCTGCTTACTTCCTTGCGTACGGATGACAGCTACGTATGACTTAATTTATTTTCTGGTGCTTTCACTTCCAGAGATAGTTGTAAGCACTGTGTAACTGCCTCGAGGAAGCTTGACCATTTTAACACAACGTGGTGCGATCATCCCCCGTTGCGCGGAGTGAGGTTTCTCGACCCCGCACAACATGATCTACTCGACCACCATTATGGTTACCGCCAAAAAAAAAAACCGAGGTAAAAAAAAAATACGGTAACCTGGTTGCCGAGTTCACGAAGTGAATTGGCTTGTTTTACAACGTCGTTGCCAATCGACGAAAACCCAATCCCGATGGCAAACACCGAGTGGGGGGCTTGTTTTACAACGTCGTTGCCAAGCGACGAAAACCCAAACCCCGATGGCAAGCACCGGGGGGGGCGGCTTGTTTTACAAACGTCGTTGCCAAGCGACGAAAACCCAACCCCGATGGCAAACACCGAGGGGGGCGGGGGGGGGGGGGTAGCGTGTAATGTTAGGTCCATCGCGCCTCGGTTGAGGTTGTTCCTTGTTGACTTCCTCGTGCAGTACAAAAAGTTGAACTCTGTTGCGCGGCGGTGCTGTGGGGTCGGAAAAAGTGCTCAGGTTCTAAAACGAGTCAATACCCGTGCTCTGTTGGGCCACGGGCGTCTTGCTAGTGCGTCAAAATCGAGTGTAGAGCAGCTCAGTCGGCTCCCGCTTTTGCATGTTTCTAGTGCCTCCCATTTGTCTGAAAAGGGATGGGTCGTATGCCCCCATTTGTCTTATTCCTAAAAAACAATTAAGTCGTGGTGTTTGCTCACACCGGCAGCTACCTGCAGCAGCGGCGAAGAGAGCAGAGCGGGAAAACGAACATCCTAGCACACCGACTCATGAGTTACACTGCTGTAGGGTGCCGCACAATAACCGTATCTAGACGTACTCAACACTGCTGTTGTCGACTCACCTCGATCGTAGCATCCAGAAGCCGCTCCATCTCTCGATCTCGGCACTTCTCTACCGGTGTACGATACTGTACAGAGGCGAAAGCACACATTCGAGCGGGGGGTAGGGTCATTGCCGTCGTCGGTTTGGCAAAAAGAAATCTACCGTACGTGGCAGTGACGGCGTTTTGGTACGTTCTCATACAAGCGTACAAACCCAACAGCCACCAGGAGCAGTGGTACCGCTGTGTCTGACACCCAAACCGCAAAAGACTCATTTCGGCCTTGAGCTCTCAAACCAAACATATGGAGCCGTCATGAGCTACCAAAAAATATAACTGGCAACGTCAAGACGAAAGGACGACAAAAGAACCGTGAGGAATGTTGGCATCTATAAATAAAACTACTCTATGCACATAAATATCCGCATACGCATATCTTCTAAAAAAACAACAAACAATAATTAAGCAGATGCGAATGATGCACACACTTTCACTAAATGATTCATTCACCTTCTTCCCAAACATCTGGTGCAGCGCCTTTTGCCTCTCACGCTCACGGAGAAACGCCTCCTGCTCGCTTCTCTCTTGCTGGGCGAAGCTCTGACGGTCCCGCACGGTGCGCTCGTATGCTCTCTCATCGGCCGCGATAGCCTTCGTGGGGATGCGGGCATGACGGATGGGGTAGCGGGGTGGGGGGGGTAGGGTCGGGGTAGGGTATGTCATTGTATGCTCTCTCGTCGGCGACAGCCTTTGTGGGGGGTGGGGGCATCGCGGATGGGTGGTGGGGGTGGTGGGGGGGTCGGGGGATCGTTGTTGTAGTTGTTGTCACTCCGTCAAGACCCGCAGGGGGCCGACCTTTAGGGTGTCGTGCCTGTCTGCAGTGCGAATACGGAAAATCTCGACACGACAAGTCCTCCGCGATGGCCTGCAGCCGAAAAAAAACACGGGTCTCCACACGACAGCTATACCCACAAACAGCATGCATCCATCAGAACCCACTGGCTTTAATTCCGCTGCCTCGCTTGGGCTTTAAAGCCCCGTGACTAATTGCATCTTTCTTGCTGGATCACCACGCGAGGGCCTAGAAGACACTCGCTATGTGTGGCGGTGGTATCAATGCGCGAAGATCAACAACATCAACGAAGGTCAGCACCAGTACACCAGTACCAGCGGAAGCCAGCGGGAGGCATCGACCCAGCCTCGCGCATCAAGGCTTGTGGCGACACCACACGAAGAGCCAGGCGGCAGAAAACAGAACTTTCCGGCAAGCACTACTTGTACATCCGACTCTGTCCGCGAATACAGGGGCCATTGTGGCAATCCGCGCGTCATTCCGAATGGCCCCTTGTATTTTCGAACGACTTCTATATAGGTTATACTTCCGAGAACAAGACAGAATCCTGCCATTCTACCATCGCGACTATTGTAGACACTGTCCTCTCACCTCGTCCTCGTCGCTGAACCCCTGGGCCCACATCGCCACCCACGGCTCCCCCTGAAGCCCGATCCTCTTCCTGGGTCTCTTCTTGGACTTGGTCTTCTGCTGTGTCCCCGCCCCTGCCTCCGCCGCCGCCGAACCCTCCTGGGCTGCCCCGCCGCCGCTCCTGCCGCCCCGACCGCTAGTGCGCTTTTTGACCGCTGATGCACCGCCTTTCGTGGGTGCGGAGGAGGCAGGCGCTGGCCGTGATGACTCTTTAGTTGATTCTGAGGTACCAGAGACAGCGGGCTTTTTCAGTCTACGCCGCCCGGTCTCCTGCTCCTGCTGCGTAGAAGCAGCAGGAGCAGCAGCAGCAGCACCATCGCTTCGGGTAACGCCTTTCCTGCTGCTGCTTCGCAGAGAGGACGAAGGAGCATCCCTGCTGCTATCGCCGCCGCCACCGTCCCTGCGCCCACCGGTGGTTCCTTCCTTTCCATTCCTTCGCAAGGTAGCAGGTGATGACGCACCGCCACCGCTACCTTTACTGCTCCCCTTCCCCGCCTTGGTAACAGCGTTGGCCTTCTTCCCCCTGTCCCCGCCCCCGTCTTCCCCGTCGCCCCCGCGCCGGAGGCGTTCTCGCGTTGACACGCCGCCGCCGCCGCCACCGCCACCACGTGTTCCTGCATCCCCCCTCCTCCCTATTCGATTGGAAACCCCGAGGGTGGCTTTTCCCGCGTGACGCTCCTCTTCCTCGCCGGACATCTCCACCGGTTTCGCTGCCCCCGCCGCTGCGACGCTCCGGTGCCTGGGGCCGCTGTCGTGACCGCTACCATTGCCCCCCCCCCCGCCGTCGCCCTCGCCCGCCGGGTCCCCTTCTGTCCCCGATTCGTCCGACAACAACCGGGGGCTGCTTCGTTTTCCTCCTCTCCCCCGCTTCTCTGCGGCGGGCGGCACGGCAGCAGCCCCAGCGCCCTCCGGAGGGCGACCCACGTCGCCCCCGCGCGCGGCCGCGGTCTTAGTCGACGACGGCGTACGCGACGCGCGCTGCTGCTGCTGCTGCTGCTGCTGCCGGGCCCTCGTGTTAGGGAGGCATGCGCTCGGGCTGCCGGTGGTCTCTCCGGTGGTGGTTTCGCGGCAGGGAGACGTGAGGAGAACGGCGACTGGCGCGGCGGAGTTGGGGGGGCGACCGCGCCCCCGACCCCGGGGGTCATTGCTCGGGGTGCCGGTCTTGGAGAAGGTGACCGGGCCGGTATTCTTTCCGTCTTGGCCGTTGTAAATCTGGCCGTGCAAAACCAAAAATTTGCGGCATGTGGTCAAAGGGACGGACAAGCCCGTGCCTACGTCAGAAGCAACGACAAGAGGTACTTGGCTGCTAAATAGGTGGATTCGAGCGAGGCGAAGTCGAAACTGGTACGCAAGTGGACGGTTGCAAGGGTGTTAACTCGAACAGATCCCCGCCCCCCCACCCCCCCACCCCCCGCGCACAGCCGCACCCACCCCACAATCGCTGCTCACCTCATACTTCCCCTCCGCCAGGAAAGCCCGGAGCTCCCGGCGCATCGGCGCCGACACCCCCCCGATCATCCTCCGACTCTTGGGCTCCCACACGGCCACCCTGTGTGTCTCCTCGCCCGCGTAAGGGTCCCACGTCTTCCCCCCCTCCAACAACACGACCATCGGCGCTGCCTTCCCCGAACCAGAGCCCTCGTTTGGTTGCGGTTGGACGCCCGCCGCGGCCCTCCTAAGCCGTGACCTCGTGGGGGGTCCCGCCGGCGGTGTTGCCGGCGGCGCTTCCATCCGCGCGTTCTCCTCCGGCGGTGCCCCCTGCCCTTGAGCTTCGGTATTGTCCCCGAGCCTGATCTTGTTGGCGTTTAGTTCTGGCGTATTCATCGGGGACGAGGATGAAGCGGTCGGCGAAGCTGTCGACGAGGCCGTCGGCGAGCTGGTCGGCGAAGCCGCCGCAGTCTTCTCGTGGCTCGTCGGCGCCGTCGCCACCACGCCGTTCTTCGGAGCGTCAGCAGCGTCCTCCGCCTTTTCGCTTCCCGCCCCGGCCGTCTGCTTAGCCGTCAACACAGTAGCGGCACCGGGGTCCCCGCCGTCGTCGACGCTACTAGCCCCCCGCTCCCCGCCAAGGTAGCTAGAGCCCCCTAACGGTTGTGCACCGTTCTCCGGACCGTTCTTCAGAGTGGTGCCGCCGCGCACCGACCGCCTTGTATTTCGCGTGCCGGTGGATAACGGCTCCGTCGTCGTGGAGGGCAGGCTACCCGCGCGCGGCGATACTCTCCTCCTCGGAGGGCGGTCGGCGTCTTGCCTATCGACGGCCGCAGCAGCAGGAACGCCGTCCAAGGTGTCGCCGCCAGCAGCCCCTTCCGTTGCCTCATGCGGAGGCTGGTCCTTGTCCGAGACTGTGGGCTCAGCAGGGACAGCAGAAGCAGTAGCAGCAGCAGCAGCAGCAGCAGCAGCGCCGGCGCAAACGAAAGCGTCCTCTGCAGATGATGACCGCTCCTCGTCCTCTTCCCCTCTCGTTCCGCCACCGCCACTCGCTCCGTCGCCGACCCCCGCATCTGCCCCAGCCCCCTCAGAAGGTACTACACGCTCTTGCTCGGCATCTTTCTGAGCCCCCCCGTCACCTTCGGCAACCGTGGTGGGTGCTCTATACGGGCTGCCTTGACCCTTCGTTCCCGTTACCGGTAGAACCTCCTCCAACACTGCAGTCTCCGTTTGTTCCGCTCCGGCCGTGTCATTCGCCTCCGCCGCCTTCGCGTCTCCCTGCGTTGCATCGCTGGCGTCGTCAGCAGGTTCTGCGTCATCTTTTCGCTTCGCGTGAGCCCCGGGTGTCTCGTCGGCCTCCTCGTCCTGATTCTTGTTGGCAGGATCAGCACACGGCACTCCCTCTTCCTGCTCCTCCTCGTCCTTCTCCACCTCCTCTTGCGCCCCATCCTGATCGTCGCCCCCCC